TTTTCTTTCCTCCCCTCCTGATTGGTTTTAGTACTGTGTCCCTTAATTGCTGTCTTTCATTGAAGGTTTCCAGACTTCATCATGCCAGTAAATAAATTATTTTCATTTGTAACTCTAAATACACCCTTCAGAGCTGACAATAGCTAATGTATTCATTTGAATCCTGAAAGGGCCCCAAACAGACAGAAAAACCTAATTAATAGTTCCTAAGATAAAGAAAATTGTGTGGAAGAAAGCATTTCGCTTTAAACATAACTGTAACCATAACCCTAACCCTAACACAAACTGCAACCTTAACACTAAATCTAAACATCAAACTAACCCTAATGGTAACTGTACCCTTAACCCTAACCTAAACACTAACCATAACCATAAACTTAACCCCTAAAATAACCCTAAACCTAACAGTAATGCTAACCCTAAAATTTCCTGTAACACTAAATCTAACTCCAACACTAATAGTAACACAAATCCTAACCCTAAACCTAACCGTAACCCTAAGCCTAACCCTAAACATACCCCAAACAGTAACACTAAACTTAATCCTAAACCTAAACCTAACCCAAAACCTGACCTTAACGCCTAACTGTAACCCTTACCCTAACCCAAACCCTAACCCTAACCCTAAGCCTAAACCTCACCCTAACCCTAACGCTAACCCTGACCCTAACCCAAACCCTAATCCTAATCATAACCCTAACCATAACCAATGCATACTTGTTCTTTCTGCATTTCCTTTTTTTTTAAAGGAATTTTTTTTCCTGTTTTTTACCCATATTTGAGTGGATCTGCCATGACTGCCTTTTCTTGAGGCATGGCACACAGAGATCCCTATTCCCCTGCATATGTCACTGAGTAGCATCCTCCCAAAAGCCACAAGCACAGTGGTGGTATGAGGTTTCCCAAGGGTCTGGAAGTTCAGTGTGAGCAGATACAAAGAGCCATGACCCACACTTCACTCCTGTACTGCTCCTGCTGGTCCCACCGTCATGTTTGAGGGTGTCATTTAGTAGACCAAATAATTCAAGCTAAAATTAGTTTAGTAGAAGACGAATTTGTTCTCCAGTGGTTCAGACCATTTGAAACTGAGCTAAGTCCTTTTTGAGGGCACGCCCCTGAATTACTGCCACTGATTTATTTTTTTTCTCCCTTGGCAGTGGACAGTGAAAATGTCTTAACATCCCATCTTAAGCACCCTAGAGATGCAGACTAAGTGGATTGCATCCTATGGTGTAAATGCATCCATCACAGATCTACATGCCCTCTACCATTCAGCTGAGACCTATCCCATCTGTACAGTTTCTCTGATTTGGCCCTAGCAGATGGAAACTTGGCCTCTCCCCACTCCCATCCCCCTAAATCTAATCCTAATAGGAAAAATTCTTTTAGCATTCAATAGGGGAATGATGCAGCCAGGCCTTCAATAATTTGGCTCTGATTTAATACCATCTCTCTTTGTTGGAGGCGCCTGGCATTTCTGTTGTAATAAAAGCTTTCACTGATTGAACTTTGTTCTCCTGCCAGTTTTTTGTTGTTGTTATTGTTGTTTGGTTTTCCTTTTGGAGCGTGGCCTAGCCAGAAGAATTGATAGGTGCACACACCTACTATTTTTCACAGACAGGATTTATATGCATGAGTGTGAGAAAATCTTGTTTTGCTATTAGGTTTCCAGCATCAGTACTGCCTTGGCTGAAAATTGTGGGGGCACAGACTACAAAAGAACCCACTGGCTGTCATCCATTAAAAAAAATTAAAAAAATAATAATAAAAAAAATAAAAATAAAAAAAATTAAGCATTTAAAAGATTAAATGACATTTTTATTTATTTATTTATTTATTACAGAATAGTCTAGTAAAATGGTTTTGCAGAAACATAATACTCTAACTGCAAAGTGCAACTAGCTGCCTTCCTGGATCCAGGCCCTAGAGACCTATCTGTTGTTTTCTCCAGAGGTTTGTTTGGAACACTATTGTGGAAGAGCAGAGAGTTATCTGTGAGTCTAGTCAGTTGAGGCAGGGCTATTACATTCTCTTTATAAAGAGAGAAATTATGCTTTTTCTAGGATTTTCAAAGCTGAATTTGGTACACAGAATCACAGAATGGCCAAGGTTGGAAGGGACCTCTGAAGATCATCTAGTCCAAGAGAAAGGAATCTTTTTTACCGAAATAAGTTAATGCCTTTGTCCACTGGAATAAGATAATTATATTTTAAAATCTGGAAAAAGTACATACATTAACAAAGACATTTATCAAATATTTTAGCAGTTAAAGATTTCATCTTGCTTAAGCTGGAAGGGACACACCATTAGACAGCAAACAACAGCTAAAAAAAAAAAAAAAAACCTTCCTTGTTTTTCAGCAAGACTGATCAATGAATTGCCATAAATCTCTGAAGTACAGCTCTACATTCTTTGTGTTACTCTGACAAATGTTCCTGTGGCACAACTATGAGTTAGCTTAATATACACAGAAAAGGAAGGAAAGAAGGAAGGAAGGATGGAAATACTATTCTTACCAGCTTAAAATATTTTGATGGATATTTTGTTCTAAAATAACAGAAAAACAAATTTTACAGGCCATTTTTTGATTTTATTACTGTAATGTAGTGAAAGGCTTCTGTTCAAACAGATAACAATATAAACAAAGAAAAAAACATTTCCCATGCTGCTTCTGAATAACTCATAGACAAATTCAGGCCTGAATCATCACTCTGTATACCACAGGCCTGGCCATCAGCCAAATCCTGTCTTCATGGGGCTGATGTAACAGGTATTATTCAGGTGTCTGTTGTAAGTTGTTGTTTTAATTTGTAAACTTGAACAGCCTTGCCTTAATAATCTCTACTTGCAACAAGAGCAAAAAGGCACTCTCTCAGAGAAACAAGGCAATGCCCTAGAAACAAACATTCTGTCTGCAAAGGTTTGTTAACAAAACCTTTTTCTTAATTTATTTTTTTAAGCATGTTTACAGTCAAAGTTTACATATTTTCTTGAAGACATAGATTTTAAAGCACATATAATTAGAGAAAATAATAGTAGATGGATGGATCCCAAGGGTGAAAATATAAGGTAGTAGGAAATAAGCTGTTGAAGCAGAAGGGAATATGGTCCTTGGGAAAACTCTAGGCAAACTATTTAAAACTGAGATCCATTTTACCTGCTTTGTAAGACAAAAACTAGGTGTAACTAGGTGTCTCCCTGTATATGGAGAGAATACCCAGAGGGCAATTCATCTCACTTAGCTTAGATACCTGTATTTGACTGGGATGAAATAAATGTGAAGGTGTCCTTTCTCTCCACTACCTGGTTTAGACTGGATATTTATCTCCTAGAGTTAGGAGCTATCTAAGTTAGGTGAGATGTATGCCAAGCAAAGTGAAAAAGGGTCAGCCAAAGTAAGTGACATCAGCTGCTGAGAAATAAAAGGGAGGTGGAAGGGGAAACGGGAAAGAATATGGAAGATGGGAAAGAACCAAATGAGGTAATCAAATGGGGCCACACAAAAGGATTTGAAGTGCAGGGCAAAATGATTTTGCAGCAACCAGGTAAGTCTGACTGGCCTGTCATGTGGTATATAAGAAGGAAAATAGAAAAGGAAATAGAAAAGCTATCTAGGGGGAAAGTTCGTAACAGTTGAAGTTGCTCAGTGCATGAATACAGGAGTCTCATGTAGGGATGCAAAAGAATCACCGCTCTTTGGGATATTGTGAAAACACAAAGGGTATTCAGCACAGAATATACAAAAGATGAGAAAGGCACTGAAGGTGGAAAGAGGTTGTATTTTTACTGCCCAGGAAATAAAAGAGATAATATGCAAAAAGTGGTGAGAAAAGATGTTTTGTCTTTGAGCTGAATGTAGATGTCACAATGAGAAATAATCTATTGCATGTTTGTATGGATTTTTTTCTGGTTGTCTATTGTGCCAGAATTTCTGAGTGAGATACTAAAAACATTTAAGCAGGAAATCTTCAATAGTATGATACCAAAGGGAGTCTATTTTATTGAATGAATAAATACAACTGACACGATCAAATAAAGAAATCTGCTCACTGATTATGCATTATATCTCCTAGTCCAAACAGTTATACAATATCTTTACTACTATCAGTCTGTAAATATAACAACGAATACAGGCTAAGAATAGACAGAAGATTTGATTCAACCAAATCTTAATTATCAACTAGTAAATGTCAAGTGACTGTAATGGCTTCCAAGACTGGCTCTCTGGACGTTTTAGGAAATTGTGATTAAGTGCTATAAGAGTCTGTGGTGATCATCAGTACCTTGTGCTGTTTGAAACCAGTTCTGGTGTAACTGAAGACACTATTAAAGCAAATTAATGGCTTATTGCTCTTATCTAAAACAATTTTATATTCTTCTTGCCTGTCCTTCCAGAACGAAATCTGAGCTATACTCTGTGTTGTTACATGAGTTCATCTAAGATTGCTAGTTTTCCCTGCAATGTTTTGACTATATTTTTTAAGCATAAATATTATGAATCCTCTCCTGTCAACGTTTGATTTACCAAGCATTTGACCAAGTCAGTGAACAGATTAAGCTCACTACATAATACCAGATGGCTTTATGGTTTTGTGTCCTCTCCTGGGCAAGGCCTGCTGTCATCTCTGAGCATCTGCACAGAGCCACGAGGGATGCATGCACTTTTCATTCATTCAGCTGGGTCACTCATCATTAATATTCAGAGGAGGAAAGGAGGTGTCAGACAAGAGAATTGGTTCTGGCTTCTGTTAGCACACTGACATGTCAATCATTCACCCTGGAGGCTGCCAGGCCCAATTTAGAACAAAAGTAACTGCTGGGCTGAACACATCATAAAAGGAGATGAGATTTCTTTGTGTTAACCAGCCCCTTTGCAGGGTAGAAATGTAATTAGAGTCTTCCTCACAACCAATAACACATGAAGCCGAGTGATTAGTGGGACCTACTTTGAGACAAAATCGCTGACCTCAATCACGTTATGAATGATTCTGAGGCAATTGTAGAGTGCTCACAAAATGAAATTGTATTTAAAACACTTCTCTGAGGAAAGCAGTCCAATCCAGCATGGTGATATAGTCTTGAATATGTTAAAATTCCCTGCAATTTCTTACATGACAGCTTTGATCATTCTTAAATGGTACTGTTGTTTTCCAATTTAATGTAGTCACCTTTAAAAGAAAAAAAGACAGCAGAAACAAATCAATCCTCACGTTGTTTGATCTTAGTGCAATTTCCCAGCAGTTGCATGTGTAGTAGCCTCCTAGTGCACCCTACTGGACTCCCTCAAGAATGCTTCCTGCTTCCATGGAGCAGCTTTAATGGGAAAAACCTGGGTACGGTGGCAAACTTCATGTGGTCTGACTTACTCAGACAAGAAAACAGGCATTGCTGCTTCATAAACCCTTCAATCTTCTCTTGTAACATTTTGATCAGCTGGGGGCATTTTAATTAAAACAAATATAAGCATTATCAATACAAGTATTTGTTATCACAGTTCATATCTCTATACTGTCAAGGGGTAAAAGCTTTGCCCTGGTAAACAGCTCCCCTTTCAGCAGATAAGATAACAGAGGATAGCTTGCAAGTGTCTACCACCATACCAGTTTGTCTATACTCAAACTTCTCAGGATATGAACACTAAAACTAGCTCTTCTCTGGCACAAGTTGAACCAACATCCAATCTGCAAGTATCGTGAGGCAGGCTAAATATTTATTCTCTTGATTAGCTCATTCTCTATGCGTAGTATCTCTGACCACCCAGGGATAATCAAAGAAACATTTTCTCAGGACAAGCCACATGTAAACCAGCAAACCTCTATGAGAATCAATAGATAGACACTTTTCAATACAAGCTGAAGAAATGGTCTGTTTAGTTTTAATATCATGTTGTCAAATATTTATTTTCTTCCTCTATGCTTGCAGTTATCTGTTGTTTACTGCATGTGACACAAGCAATACACCCTGAACTTCTATCCTGGTCAGAAGGTTAGAAACCTTCCACCTACAGCATTTCTCATGTTTCTCTAATTGTTTCATATACTTATTTCCTCAAGAAAATAAAAGATTTATTTTGGTGTTTTTAATCTATTTATCTCCTTAAACTTCACTGTCTATATCCAACAATACCATGAAAGATGTATTCTTACTGTGGCCTGGTTTTGGTAATTACATTTTACGACTAGTTAAATGCAACCCAAAGTATGAACCATGGATCTCTACCTCAGATCCTCCAACACATAACATGATCAGACAAGGGTTGTAGCTAAACTGCAGGAATAAGAAGCAACGACAATGGAAAACAATAGTTACTTCTCTTCTAGCTCTCATAGCTATATATTACTGCTACTACTTAGTGATTAGTTTATTTGAATGGCTACAACTTGTGGGCAGGTGAGAGGAAAACTAGATTTCCCTAGTCACATGTCTATCCCAGGTACAAGGAGTAAAATACCATAAAATATGGCTTTTGTTTGTACTGCTACTCTATGTATGCAGTTATTTTAGTATTCAGGTACCTAAATACTGATTCTATGGCTGACTGCAGCAATTATCCTGCATCTCAAAAATCTGACACCATGTCCACATAAAAAAAGACTACAAAGACACCATTTTAATGAAATTTTAAAAGTACATTTTGATCACTAGCATAAAGCCATTTCCCTTTATACTCTAAGGGTTTAAATAGGCAACAGAGGGCCACTTATTTGCTTTAATGAACATTACTATGATACAAGTTATATAATTACTGTTAATAATACCACCTTCATATCATGTTCTTGCATAGTTTATGTAGGGTCGTAAATTTGCTGAAAGGATACAGCATACAGACTCTGGCTTAAATATCTGGAAACACTAGTGAGTGTATACCATAGCTAAAGAAAGAGGCAGAGGAGCTTTTCTGCTTTGTCACAAAATGCTCCTATTTGTCTTTTGAATTTCATCATCTGTAAAACTGGGACAAAGTGGATTTTTGTTGTTGTTGTTTGTTTTTGTTTTTCTTAACAGGTCCTTAGGAAACTTATTGTTTTTTTTTTTTTTAAGGCTTTCAATCAAAAGATTTTTTTCCAGAATTAATTTCATATACCAGAATGTTTTAGTATAAAGGCACTCAAATTTTCAGCATGCTTATAGTATTTTGGTTAGTAGAATTGTGTCTTCTTGCCTTTGTTCCCCCAGGCATGGTTTTTACATACAACACAACTGGTCCTTCTGTAATTTATCTCCATACATTGCATTTTCATAAGTCATTTTATAAGTGCACAGACAAATAGTTTGAGAAGGCCATCTGCTTTCATCTGCATCATTTTCCATGTGCTTTCTGCTCTGAAGTATATGCTTAGCAACTGCTAAAATAACAATCCCTAGACAGAATTATCTCTGTCACTTTAAAGGAAGGTAACAACACTTGTTATTACAAGACATTCTATCTGTTGTAGTACAGAAGAGCAGCAATATACACAAAGTTGGGTGATAAGTTTGCACTAGTGATCATTGAAGGGTTTAGGAAGTTACTTTCATGTTCAAAGAAACTGCATATACAAAATAACTGTATCAGAGCATTGAAATAAATTTCTGAGTCAAATTTTAAAGAATGAAGTATTACATAAGAAAACAAGTCAAACCTCCAATGAGAGTATGCAGTACTTACTGAATGTTCAAGATAGGTTTAAGAAGATATCATATGGAGACTTCTTGGCCATGAAATAGAACTTACGTTGAAAATGGTAATAAAAATTATCAACTGAATGAAATATATACAATAAGATGATCATCAGAGAGTACAACAAACTGACTAAAACTCTACAACACTATTGAAAATAAATATAAAGCACTCACTGTTGCTAAAATCAGTTAAAAGTCATCTATGGGACTGAAAAAACTCAGCTTCTTTCCTTCGGAAGTTATGAGTAAACTGTCTCTGAGAAGGCAGTGTGTGCCTCTTAATTATTGATTAAAGACTTAGTCACAGCAATCTACATCTTCATAACATGCAGGGTAGATTAATACTTCTAATTGTGCTGCTTAGTACACATGCTGAGATTAAAAAGAGCTTCAGCTGATTTAAATCACAGCAATTTATTTTAATGTTATTAGCCGTGAAGAACATGATCCCCTAGCCTGACTCCAAAGCAAAGAAACCAAGTGGTCTTCTATGGCATAGGGTTGAAGGATCTTGTGAGCTTACCAGCAGATGGTCCAATCTCCTCAGAGGCAAGGTTGCCAGGCTTTTGAGAAATGGTGTTTGAAAGAAGTTGAAGAGAAGACTAAGTGACCAGAGTTAAACTAACAAAAAGAAAAGATGTGTAATTGTGAAGTAAATTAATCACTAGGTCAAAGCTGTTGAGTTCAGCAAGGGACTTCCAGTGGAACAAAAGCTTCAAAGATCTCAAGAAAGCTTGATCAGCTGATGGGGAGAAGGAATAGGGAAACAGAAAATGAGGCTCTAAAGGAAGAATAATGAAGTTTTATGGACAAATTTAGAACAAAAGAGACAGAGGAAGATAAAAGAATACATAACAGTATGCTGCTAAATATAGCTGAGAAAAAAAAAATTCAGCAAACCCAATAAATGCTAGACAAAAGTGCAACATAAAGTAAAATACATCAAGGAAATTAACTGTTTGAAAGACACAAAGCATCACTCTCAAAGGCAATAACTTGATAATGATGAAAAACATCAGCTACAGGAAACAGAAGATGTAATCAGAAGAGAACAAAGGAGCAATCTACTGTTAAGAGATAAGGAATCTGCTAGAAAAAAATACCTTACGGTCTGAGGCAAAAAGTGACAGAATTAACAAAGCCCTATACATATGACTAGGTAGCTTCAGATACCTCTCACAGCGCAGATATTCTTAAGGCAGAAAGATTACTGACATTTTTGTGCCAAAAGGATGGTTTGCAGTTTATTCCTTTTGCGATTTGGCAATAGCTGTGAGTTGCATTGCAGTAAAGTGATTTCACCTTGCTACATCTCACAAATACACTAGCCATTTCTGTAAGGGCATATAGGCCCTGCCCAGCCTCCCCACCCCTGCCCATGACCCAGGACTCTGTTCCAGCTATGCCCTTGCTCCCAAACTGATTACACCTAAAGCTGCAAAAGTCAAAATACCTCCTACCTGCATCCAGGGGAACAGTTCTAGTTGCTGTCTCTAGCTGAAAGGTGCTCAAAGTTTACATGGGACCTTGTTTGAACTGACATCAGCCAGCAGCCAAGAACCTACACTGCTGCTTGTTCACTCCCCCCTCCCTCCTCAGCAGGACAGTAGAGAGAAGAGGAAGAGCAAAACTGAGAAACTTTATGGGTGGAGAGAAAGACAGTTTATTAGACAAGGAATAAGGGGGGAAAAAACATACCACATAAAGGCAGCCACTTACCACCTGATACAAGTCAGTCAGCCAAAAACCCCACCCCTTCTTCCTCTACCCCCCTTTATATGGCTCAACACGGCATTCCATCATGCAATATCCTTTTTTTTTTTTTTTTTTTTTTTTTAATGCTACTTCAGGTGAGCTGTCCCAGTTGTACCCCCTACCAGTTATTGACCACTCTACTATTAAAATATATTCTTTGTACTTGCAGGAGCTGACAGTGGATTATTTGATTTGGTATCAGACTATTGTAAATACTTTCGTGGTCTGGTGCTGTGCTGCAGAAAGGTAAGACTTCTTTAGAGAAATGCTGAAGGAGAACCACTAAAAAATCCTTCATGATTTTGTACAACGTTCCCATGACACATAATTTTGTTTCTAAATAATTTATAATGAATCACATAAGCTAAACATACATAATGAAAATAAATTTCAGATATACTTAATGACATTGTAATAGATAACCTGAGGCTGTCATTGGTTTACATGTGTAAAAAATAGATCTCTCTTCACACGTAATTCTTACCCCTCGTTAACTTTTGCTGCTTTGAACAGAATAAATTGCTTATATCTCTAACATAGCATCTGAATAAAACTTTATATCTGAAACACTTATATCTGCTTTTACCTCAGGTGCGCAACATTTACTACTAAAGGAAGCATTACCTTAATACAGAAATATCATCAGGTTCTTTCTCAAACTAGAAGAATTAGCAGTCATAAAACAAAAGCACAGTTATATGTAAACTAATACACAGCTAGGTAATATGCAATCTGAAATGTAATTTAGTTTTATAAACAGTTTGGTCAGTGAATTAGATTACTCACAGCAATGACATTTTCTTATTATATGACATATTGAGTTTCAGTAAATTATTTTTGCAGTATGTTTAATTTTCATTTTGAAAATTTGAATTACTCTATCTTCACAGCATGCTAGACATAAAATCCAACCAGTATCTTCTGGAAAAAAAAAAAAAAAAAAAAAAAACTGTGGTATAGGACTTTGAATAATTAAGAAGAAATGCTTGGGGGAGGAGAATTCTCTGCATTTCACTGAGCAAAATATACTCCAGTTCAAAGGCTGCAACATAATCCTATTTGCTTGAACTATTTCTTTGATTGCATTTATGTTTTTGAATATATCACTAGTCAACAACCTGGGACAAGAAGTAGTGTCACCTGATAGAGGGCTTTCTTTCCTAGAAGAAAAGGAAGGCTGAAGTAGAGTTAGTAGTGTTAGGCTCTGCACCTTTTTGAGGTTGAAGAAAGAGCAGCTGAGCATCCCAAAGAGCTGGTAATTTCAGCTGATGCCAAGAGCACCGACAAGAAGCGATGGGCAGAAAATAGACCAAACTTGAAGGCAAGCTTTAATCCGAATGTTAGCAGAGATCATTCGGAGCTTCTGCCTTGTGGAATGAAGACTGTTGTTTTTTTTTTTCCAAGCAGGTGGTTCAAAAATACTATCTCTTCTCTAGAAAGTATTGCAAAGCAGAGAAATCTCATAACTGATAAAGCCTCACCCTTTCACAGCCACTACTGGAACACCATTAAATTAGTTTTGTTTAAGATCCTGTGTGAAATTTCCTGCCTCAGGCTGCAGGCTGACAAGTCAAAAACACTCTTTGCCATAAAAGAAAGTTAAGAAGTATTTTGTCAAAATAAACCAACTGCAGTTTGAAACCATTCTTTTCTGCTAAAAAGTCAAATAGATTGTAGAAGTGAGATAACCTAAGAACCTACAAATGGAAATATGTCTGCTCCCATATGTCTTGAGGGATCTAATTTGTAACTCACAACACCAAGGTATTTGCACACTTAGAAATCAGCAGTATTCAACACTGCATTAGAATGGATTGCAGTCATCTGCTGGAAGATTTTGGTTAACCTTTCCCACTTTCACCTGGAATCATAAAGGATAATAATACCCATGATTCAGATTTCTGTGTGCTGTCTCTAGTGAGGAACAGACAACTGACTCATTTGCTGCATGTTACTCACAGATACTCCAGCTCAGTAAGGAATACTTTAATGCTATACAATTCATAGTATTTCAGAATAAATTAAACATTACAGCCAAATTCTCACTTTCAAAGAAAAGATGACGTTACATCTTTCTAGCCTGAGTCTGAGGTCTTTTGAGTTATTTCAAACAGGGGCAGAGGCCAGTATATCACAGCTACAAAGCAGTTCATTATAAAAAAAAAAAAAAAAAAAAAAAAAAAAAAAAAGCTACTTTCACATTTCCCTGAACGCAAGTGAAATTAATTGATAAACATCCCGCACTCAACAACACTTAGACCAAAAATTCTCTCTCTATTTTCACCCATGTTTCTAATTGCCTCTTGTAGACTTTTTTCCCAGCTATTTTTGTCATCCTGCACCTCACAGATATGAAAACCATCGTATAGCAAAACCCATTCATTTTTGTGTTTATTTCAGGTGTAAGCTGTTTTTGTTTCAGCTCTCTGAATACTTACAAAAGCTTAATCATTTCTTACCTTTATCCTTCTCAGAGAGCTACTGTTAAAACCAGAAGCTTTTAAAGAGGTTTAGCCTACTGTAACATCTTGTTTTTGAAGGCTTTGCAACAGCTACAAAATCTCTCATTGTTGTGAGCAGCAGCCATATATGGCTCTGTGCCCCAACATTTATTTTCAGCAAAAGACAGATAAAGATAGATTATCCTGGTCTTTGGAGATAGAGGCACAGAAACATAATAGTTCTCATATGTTTCAGTGCTTCTGCTTCGCGGTGATGCAGTGATGAAAAAAGAATCTAGTCGGAATGGCCATTGGCAGACAGTACTGCAAGCCAGCATGGGAGCTTCAGGAAGGTGAGCTCACTGGTGTTACTGGCTTTGAAAATTCTTTCAGTGGTTGAATAGTATAAAATAAACAATAATAGTATTGATTCATGCTTAGCAAAACCTCAAAATGATACTACTTGCCTATCAAGGTGCATTGCTGAAATATTGATTTCTTTGTTCTATAATAAAAGACTGATTTTCCTAACTAGCCTTAGCTGGGAAGAGTACTCCCTGTTCCTTCTAATGTTGAACTGCTATGGGCAGATATCTGTCTACATGCCTATGAGTACAACACTGCATGTGAATATCTTGAAGCCTTGATCTTAAAGTGAACTCTGCACAGATTCACATGTAGAGATAGATAATCATTATCAAGTGTGATTATCAAGTCCAAAATACAAATTAGCTACAGGTTGTTTCAGATATTCTGATAAATGCTGCAAATATTCAATTCAGTCTTGGCACAGTCAGTCCAAATACTTGGAAACAGAAAATTTTCAAATGACCATTTGAAAATATTCACTTGCAGTAACCAGCAAATAAGCTATATATTTTGGTGTTTTTTTTTTTTTGTTTTTAACTTTTTTTTTGTTTGTTTGTTTTTACTGAGATATGTAAAATTTAAAAAAAAAAATGAAATATTAAATTCATGGGGGATTTTGAAGCAATGTTTATAACTGATTTCTATAAGCTCAGCTTTTAAGATTACTTTCTGCTTCTTTTTGAAATAACTGGATTATCTGAAGGATGAAGAAAACTTTGACCTATATATTCTAGTTACTGTCTGTCTTTCTTCCATTTACTTGTCTTTATATCATTTTAAGACAAGCTACCCATATAAATGTCTTGCAAGATATAAGATCCAATTTTAGTTATGAAAAAAAGACCTGTGTACCAAAGGAAGACAGATGGACAGATTCTTTTCTTAGTACACATTGCATGACAGAAGGAAACCAGTGGAAAGCAGGATTTAAATTTCTCCCTACCCAAGTATTACAATTACAGAATTATCCCAGAAAATTATAATGGAAAGAGAACGCAACAAAACAACAACAAAATCACCTCATGCCACTTATACTGATACCTCTCGTGTCAGCATTGGTTGCAATGTTAACCAAAGCTATGAACTGAATCTATTTTCTAGGGCAAAGGAAAGAGCAGAATTTGGCAGCTTAACTTATTGAATTCTGCTTCCCGTAAGGAGGTTGTGACAGGCAGATGAGAGAGTAACACATGGGAAAATTATTTTCTACTAAGAAAGAAATGAAGCAGACATTGTCTAAGTAAGTATTATTGATGCACTGCACCAAAGATGTGAAGCTATAAACCTTCTGCAGGCAAGGATTACCTCTTCCAAAAGTCTAGGGAAATCTGTATCTCTTGACTGTACATCAGACCTTCTTGCCTTTGCACAGGACCGGTGTTGCTGGGGCATGCAGTGAGGCTCCAGGCACACACTGATTGTCCACCATCCATGAAGAACTGACCATCAAGTACCATCAGCTACTGATGATGCAAGTCTCCTGCATGTGCAAGCCCAATAGATCTTGTTTTCATTCTACAGTATTGTGCCTCCACCACTCTTAATGATACTCCTACATTCCTTCTTTCTTTGATTAATGTGACCATTTAGATAGCACACCTAGCACACTGATCCATATAAAATGCACAACATGTTCAATGCTAAATGACACAGATAAAAGAGTTTCTGATTAATCTAGAATGGTGAGTTTTAACCGTTAACTTGAAATTCGTTTCCATTTGCATCTCTGACATATTTTACTGAGAAATCACTATCATCATGAGCACTGGTAAAAAAATGTGCAAAATAAAAAGCCAGCACATGCACACTCCTTTACTGCTCTTTGATTCCTTTCTCTCCAAGAAAGGAGAGATTGTGTTCTCTCCAGTTCTGAAACAAAATGATTGAATTTGTGTAGAAAACAGCCAACAGTATTATTTCATTTTAGGAATAAAGTCACTTCCTTAACCGTAGATGGAAATCTGTGTTTCCCTACAAGACATGGGCACTTCCAAACTGGAACAGGGGAGGGCACTAAAGAGTTACACATGGATCTGAAAGCAGACGAAATGATTTGCCCAACATGTAAATTGGGTCTAAAATTATTTCAGACTTATCATGTATACAAAAACATATATTCTGAATATGTTTTCTTTTTAAATGAAAAAGAAGCTCTGATAGGGCCTATTTGAGTGGATTGAACCACTTCCTTATCTTTGGGAAAAGCTGCGGAAGCCGTCTTGCTTTTCTGTTCTATAATCTTCCAGCCAAGTAATGAAAAGAATTTCCTTGTCAGTAGTTTTCTAAGAGCAGGTTAGTCTCTGAGATGAGTAGAGACACAGTGTGAACCAGACTGTAGTATGCTTAGGCATTCCTTTTTTTTTTTTTTTTTTTTTTTTTTTGTCTCTATTTCAGTCAAATTAAGTTTAGCATTAAAAAAATATGTTTTTTCAGGTCCTCACTCTAACTGGATGACTGGCACTGAAGAACTGACACATTTAGATAATAGATTGCAACTCATACAACACTTCCAAGACAGCAAGGTTATTTGCAAATTTACATTTGCTGAGGACTTGGCTCCTTATGGGAAGCAACAATTCATCTTCATGTGCAAAGGGGGTATGTTTTGTCAACAAAAATGAACAACACACATCTATTTACATAATTAATTACCATCAAATTCACAGCAGCATGAGAAGCTGAAACAATTCTTCCCATTTTCTGCCTGTCAGAGTGCTGTCACAACTGAGAACATGCTTTGATGTCCTTCTTTGTAAAGGCACATCTGATTGAAGACTCTCTTTTAATTATAGGTTTTTATTCATTTATTTTTTATTTTTAAGTAGCGGACAATTCTGTAACCAATGATAACATTGGTAATGATGCAGGCTATAATCAGATCTCAGGCATTAGTGGAAAAATTTATCATGTCAGAGACCAGAAAGACTTTATGAATGGATATTCAATTTATGCATAAAGATCTATGTTTCTATGAGACCTTTTACACTATCTTTCACACTTTACAGCACGTAATAAATAAGGAGTAAGCCTGTGTGTTTTGGTTACTCACAGAATGGTCATGAGACAATGGCATGCAATGCTTAATAGTTTCAGGGCACATGAGGAAGAACAGTTCTAGTGGAGAGGGAGAGGTCTGAATGATATGGGTCACAGATCCACAGTTCTGGTCAGTTCTGATCAAACAAAAAGACAAAGTGGAGCACATCGGAGGAATACTACTCATGAGCACTGCAGCTGCTGTATGGCTTATATGCAATGAACACATATATATACCATCCTTAGGCCTGATCTTGGTGTGCATCCAACTGTTCTCCACATCATTGTTTTCTCTGAAAGGAAATCTATGTCCACAAGCTAGACAAGAACCACAGTAAACCAAGAACCATGTTTCTGAAAGAGTCTGGCTTTTTTGGTATCTTCAAGAGAAGTTTGGGAAGGAATGATTGTCTCCCATAAGTAAATCAGAAGGCAAAACACTGGGAAAGGGAAAGACTAATTTAACTTATGCAGCAATGTTGCATAAAACATTCAGAACAATGTCAAAAAACATATGGTAAAAGAGTGGCAATAAAGAAAACATGGCTGCAAATTAGAAGTCAGCTTCGGATAATTCTCAGAAGTGTGCAGTAAGAGACCTTTATTCCTAAATAGGTGTTTATGCTATCATTGCCACTGGTACAACTCCCTGACAGCAAAAACAGAAGCTCTGGGGCAGACGGGGTTCCTCCGAGCCATCCAGATGACATGCTTCTTATGACATTTTAGAAAGAACATCACATGCAGCAGAAATGGAGTTAGGGAACAGTGCAAGGTTTGGGGCACTAAGCTTCTCTCAGACCCCTAGATGACCTAGAGCCCGTGCAAAGGTGCTGTGGAACAGGTGGAAGCAGCACAAGCCTTCCAGGAGCTCACTGCCCCACAACTAACCCATGCTCTTGTTTCTGGAGGAACACAACCCCGCTGCATGCCTTCACAGCACAGACAGACAAGCTCCCTGATGGCTCACTGGGTTTGTTTCTCTCTCTCAGATCGCAGTTTCCAATGACAACAGTGTTTCTGCATGGGGACACGAAGCCTGGCTGCCAGCAGATGGATGTTCGTGACTGCTGAAATTTCACAGGAGCTGGACCTGTCCCCAGCATGTGGGGATGGCTCAAGTGCTCCAAAATATATAAACTCTTTGCTTTCCCCAGTCTGTTTCTTCACTTTTGAAAGAAGCAATAACCAAGGCTGCCATTGCAAGCAGAAAACTTAAACTTATTTTGAATTTCAAAAGAGAATAAATGAGGCATCACTTTTTATCAAGGTAATTTAAGGAAAAACAAAAACCAGGATGAACGGCGTTTATGTACCACCTTGAATTTGTGGGTGGAACAGAGAGCTGGCATCACAAACACCCACTGTGTGTTGCAATACTTTTTATAAAAGAGATCCTGCTGCTGTCTCACTCCAAATGCCTCAGCTCAGGCGTAAGGCATGACTCTGACAAGTGGGAACAAGGGAAGTGCTCCAGCTGATTGACAGTCCCAAAAACCTCAGCGGGTCCTGCAGACAAATCGCACCAAGGAGCTGTGGGACTGCCGGTAATTTCCTCGCCATCCTTTGCTGCCCTGCTCCGCTCCTTCCGATCATTCCTCCGCTTTTGTGAGTCCTGACTTGTGGGGCGGGGGAGAGCGGCGTGCCTTGTGTCGTTTTGTTCCCTTCATTACCATGCAGACAATATTCGGCTGTTCTCAAGGAAGGCCTGGGATCCCTGCTCATTTCCCAGGCTTTCCTCTCAGCCATTAAAGAAGAAAAACAACGAGGGGCCTGTTCGGCTCTGTCTGGCCGTGCTGTGGGCTGACGCTGATGTAACGGCCGAGCCCGGCAGCGACTGGCTGCAGCCAAACTGGTCATGCTCTGTCCACGCATGGAGCAGCAATCGGCAGGCGGCCACCTCACACCTCAGCCCTGGCCTCCGCACAAAGGCTCCGGGGGGGAAGCATTGAGAGGTGAACAAAGCACCAGCCGAGCATGAAGCTGGGGCTGGGGGTGTCCCCACTTCCACACCACCCCTGCCCAGAGCTGGGACCAGCCTGGGACCTCTGAGATGACGATGATGATGATGAGCTGGTGGAAGAGCATGCCATGAAACTGGGGCTGGCAGGGGGATGTAAGCACAGATGGGCAGGAGAAAACTAAACCATTTTCTTTTCCCCACGGGATACAAAGCCAGACCTTGGCTGACGTAAAGCAGCATGCTCTCATTGCCTTCAGTGGCAAATATATTCAAATAGGTATCAGCACAAACAGTGTACCAGGGTGTCTGACAGGTAGTTTAACTCTGCAGCTGTTGCAGTTTCTCCTAGGACCACAAGTAAACACATTGGGTGCTAATATATATTTATATATTTAAATTGAGACATTTAGGCAGTGGGTTTAAAAACAGCTTGATTTTTTTTTTTTTTTGTCATCTTACGACTTTTCATGCTGCCTAAAGAATATTCATTATGCTTAAATGCTAACAATAATAATAACAATAATCCTTGCCCAAAATTTGATGATTGCTTATGATGGACTTTTCAGTCCTAATTTTGAAGATGAGTTACATTCTGGCAACTAGAGGCAAGTTACCACAGAAAGGCAACTAATAGTTCTCATGCCTGTTGCATGCCAGACACCTGACATAAAAAGGCCTTATTAAATATTTGAGGTTCTTCCACATTAGAAGGTAGAAAATATGGGATTAACATTTGTTAAGTTACTTGTTAACTAATTTTACTTTTTCAGTCTTCATTCTGTCTTCACTCAGCCCATCAAAGGCTGACTCCTGTGGTGACACATCTAAACACTTTGTTGCTTGCAATAGTTACAGCCTCTTGACAGATCTAGACTGAATGAAAAGCAGTGGAAGTTTGCAGCTTGTTTGCTTTCAGAGGGGCAAGACACTGAAAGCATGTAACAATATTTTTCTAAGAAAAGATTAGATCTTAAGGGGAGGAGAGGAGGATGAATGGGAAGGATTTTCACCCTAAAATTACTCAACTTGTAAACTACAAGTCAACTTCCTTTTCAGATGCAACTTACCAAGATGGGTATCACCTAAACTTGTATAATAGGCCTTTGACAGCATCCAGTTTCATTCTTTTAAATGCCTTCTGGAGTCTTGAGTTTGAAATGTTCTGTATTTAAATTCAGTCTAATTAAAGACTGGAGATTAATTCATTCATTTTTAGTTATAATTGAAATAAGTAGCCAGATGTTTGATTTGTATGCCTTCAGACTCATTAAAACTTTGAATCAAAGTACAAGTAAAGCCGTATGAAGTAAACCTGTACTTATCACCCAGCAACACAAATAATAATTAAAAAAAAAAAAAAAAACTTTCCTTCAAGTTTGCGTGTTTGTTTTTTTTTTTATCATCTTTTTTAAGTTCTTGCACATATGTATGTAATCTTCTGTCTGTTACAGTCCATTTCTTAAGCGTGTGCAGGTGCTCCCTATTTCTGCAGCTCAATGACAAAAAGTGCATGCACATAAAGTATAATGGGCATTTTCATTCAGGGTATCAGAAGCTGCCTCTCAGGCCATTCAGCCTCTCATTTTCAGGTATTTGCATTTGGAGCTTGACACATAAAACATGATGAAGCTAAAACTGAGATATTAGTATGTACAGCAAAGTCATGCATCCACTATTACATTCAGGGTCTGTTTCTCTTTACCTTGGTGTATCTCATAGATACAGGTATGTATCTCATAGCACAGGTATGACAGCAAGGAAACGTATGCATTAGATGGGCTACAACTGCATTTGTAAAGCCAAAAATTGAAAGTGCTTGGAAAATTGATTTTTTTTTCCTAATAAAAATTAAGCATAAAATAGCTGGAAAAATTCCTGAGCCTGCCCCACTGTATGTTTTTATACAAAATGGAGTTGGGAAATAGTTGAGGTCAATTTATTACTGAAAGGAAAAAGAACAAAAAAAAAAATTTTTTTTAAGTCTTCCTCTAAGCATTTTTCCTTTTTACTTTGCTAATTAATTTGTCCCCTTAGTTAGACTTTTTTTTTCCCCCCTATAGTAACAAATTATGTTATACAACCTCTCACTTTTGTTTCATG